AACCGGCAACCATAAAACACACCTTCCTTGGTGAAGTCAATTCCAGCCAGTTCTTCATCTTGAGGGGATGCAAGAGAATTCATCAAAACCTACTTTTTGCAACTGAGGGAAGCTTGAAGAGTCAAGTTTTTGACCCTATTTAGCCTCACAAGATTAGCCAGGTTCTGAGCTCTAGAAGTTCATAAAGGTCTTATTTTTGTGTATAGCCTGTAAATGTTTGCCACCTTCACCCAATTAATAAAATGAGGCATGGGACAAACCTGGAAGCTTCCACTAACATTGCCACCAAACTACTTCTAGATAGGAGATACATCTAACAGATAATCAGAGTTGGAAGGGACCTTGTAGGTCATCTAGTCCAACCCCCCGCACAAGCAGGAGACCCTACAGCATTTCTGACAAATGGCAGTCCAATCTCTTGTGGCAGTCCCACAACTTCTGAGGGCAAGCTATTCCATTGGTTGATTGTTCTCCCTGTCAGAAAGTTTCTCCTTATTTCCAGGTTACATCTCTCCTTGTTCAGTTTCCATCCATTATTCCTTGTCTGGCCTACAGATGCTTTAGAAAATAGCTTGGCCCCTTCCCCTCTGTGGCAGCCTCTCAGATATTGGAAGACTGCTATCATGTCTCCCCTGGTCCTTCTCTTCACCAGACTAGCCAAGCCCAGTTCCTGCAACCATTCTTCATATGCCTTAGTCTCCAGTTCCCCTAATCAACCTGGTTGCTCTGATCTTCCTATCTGTGTTATTGGGAAGCCTAAATCTCATTAGAGGGTAGAATTGCTCTGAGCAGCCTTCCCAATCTCCAGAGGAGTTAGATTTCAGCCTTATTACTCCTAAACAGTTTGAGCAAGACTTGGGAGTAGTTTGAAGAAAGCTCACCTAAAATTTTCTTTCTTTTCGCAGGGCTGGTTCTCAGGAACTCAAAAACTCTACATCCCAAAAGTTTGATTTCCAGTGGCTCCCAAGGATTTGCGACAAGGCAAGGCAGAGGCCCCAGAGGAATCACCTTCACTTGTACTGATGGGAGATGTGTCCAAGTACACAGAGTGTCTTGAATCTGCTGTTCCCAATAAGCCAACTTTGGTCGTGAGGGAGATTTTAAATCTGCTAAATGGTAAATGCCATCTGCTTGCCCAGAAATCTCGATTACATCAAAGCAAGAGGCACGTGGCAGAGCCTAGAAAAATTGTGCTTAAAAAGAGAGGGTATATAGTAGAAGAAACTGGTAAACGTTAGAAAGAAACATTCAAAGGGTTGTAAAATGTGTGCTACTATGCATTTGCATGCAAAGTGTATAAGTCACCATGCTCTTTGTGTGAAGCATTCCTTTTTGATAGTCAGAAAATTTTAATGTAATAAAATATACAGTAGAAAGAGATTGATAGTGAATAAGAGATAAACTATGTTTACCCATTCTGAGGTATGTCAGGATTCTGCCACCATCTTTTCTGTCTAACCAATTGTATTAGAAAGCATAGCTGACACAGGTATATCCCTCCTTATAAAAATATGGTAGTCTGAAAAGGTGCTATTAGATGCTTTCCGATTTTTGGCTGCCAGCGATTCACACAACTCTCCTTCCAAGTGTATCTTTATTGCAACTCCCCGCCATTTGTAGTTCTGAGCGTCACAAAGACAAGCCTTGGGATAAGCACCCCATTCTCAGGACCTCTGGTAAATGTGAATGTGAATTGCTCACCACTTGGAAACTCTACTGTTGCAAAATATTACTTTAAAGGGGAAAACATCATAAAAAGAGAAGAAAACAGAATGGCTCCTCCTCAGTAAAGAAAAAAGCCCATTAAAGCAGCTTTTTGTTTCTTCAATCACAAGAATGGAACATCATAGAATGCAATGTAAATTTTTAATAGAATCGATCTATCTTCAGTTAACAGTACAAATATGGAGAGAATTCAACTCTGATGTTTTAATAGAAAAGCGATAACTGCAGTATGGAAGTTTACGTAAATGAAGTAAATCCATATAAGAGGATTAATTTTGCTTGAAGTCACTCGTTATATCTTAGATTTTGTGCAGTCCAATTAATCTATTGATTACATGTCTGGTATTCCATTACTAGCATCAATTTCCATGTATTTTACATATTCAGATTTAATTAATATTCATTTAATGTTAATATAATATCAATAAATTTATAGTGTTTTATATTTTAATCTTAAATTATTTGGTTTTTAATGTTTTATTGTACTATTTACGTTGTACACTGCTCCGAGCCCCGCTGTGAGGGAGACAGGCAGTTAAGAAGTTTGATACATGAATAAATAAATGAATCACTTCTTTGATTAATGTTTCACAGTTAAGTCTTCAGAATGGCATAAATAGTTATTCCTCCCCCCACTGCCCCTCTTTTTTGCATTTTGGTTGTATGTATGAGACACGTCCCAAAAGACAAAAAAAAAACATATTCAGAGAAGAATAAAAAGAAACACTCTCTGCAATGCACTCTTGCAACAGATAGCTATAAATTCTTCCAAGTTCTTCCCTCCCAGCCCCTCCTTTGCTAATGCCCCCTTTTATTCCCCCAAGACGTCAGTATAAGAGTTACTAGCAGTTTGCATTATGGTATGGTCCTCTCAAAGATCCAGAAGCTTTTAAACCATTTCAAGCATTTTCAGCTCCTAAGGATAATAAAATCTGATGTGACAACAGGGGTGCCCAAAAGACCAGCGTAAGGAACATGGGGTACATTAAGTTAAAAAGCATAGAAAATAATTAAAATCCAAAAATAATTATTCTAAAAAGCTAAAAGATATAAACGAAAGAGTATATATAAAAACAAATCTAAAAGGAGGGCTAGGAAGAGGGAGCATAAAGGTTAATATGTGGCAAACCTATCCCTGTGCAAAGTCTAATACAACAAGCTGAATGTTCAGCAAGACTAGTTTATGGCACAGGTCATCCATTATCTGACAAGTTTTAAGTGCTGATCCTCAGAATCTGGTAATATATGTTATAGCAGGGTTTCCATCTGAAGACAGGGAGGTGCAGAATTGTTCTGTATATTCTGGGTATTTATGCAGTAATGGTGAGATGAACCTGTACAAATGCCTCTAATACAGCCACTGGAGAAGCACATGCTCTCTTGTCTGTGGAGATTCTCAGTCATCCAGGCCATAGTTGTCTCAAAGGTCCTTTTTCAAAGGCAAATTGGATTGTTTTTTCCCTAAGGAGAAGACATTTCTCTTCTCATCCAAAAAGCTTCATCGGATCTGAACCAACTGCGCTTCTTGGATGAGAAGCAAAACGTCTTCTTCCTTAAGGGAAAAAACAAAACAGTCCAGTTGCCTTTTGACAAAGCACCTTTGAAACACGTTGTTGTTTCTGTGTGTCCAGAGTCACAGGGTCATTATATAATCTGATTCTGAATTGTTAATGTAATGAACCAATCTTGAATTCTTTGGTGTCTTTTAAACACAGCACAATAAGAGTTATCCATCTGTATAACTAAAATGCCTCTTAGCTGCTCCAAATAATTCTCCTCTTTACTAGTAGACATTTTTGGAAAAAAATTATAAAGAACCCGAGAGTGGAGTGAAAGAATTGAAAGAATCTCCCATGTCTTGAGAAGAGAGCTTTGCATTTCCTTGCCCCATGTTCACAGCAGTGCTGATATTGCCCTTTTATTTTCCTTGTCAAAAGTTGTGGTTCTTACACAATGCATTTTTACAAATGAAACATTATTTTTTTCTCAGATCTCCAACCACCAAGGAGGATGCAAAAAAAAAAAAGGGCAGCATCTTGACATTAATATCATCCATCAAAGGATTCCTCTAAAGAAACAAGATCATAGGAGGATTGCTAATAAACATGAAAGTCCTATACTCAAAAACACAAGTCTTTTCTTTCCCATATTCTTACAGCACGGTTCAACAGCCTTTACAGGTAAAATTTTTGTGTGGTTGTTGCTAAACCCTCCCTCATATATTCTCTATTCTGTGCTTTATCTTACCATAATCTAAATAGGATTCTTCTTGATGTAAAATTCTGAAAATGTTAGGAAAAAAATGAACTTTAAATCCTCTTTATTTGTCATATTTGAGGAATAACGATATGAGTGCTCCTATTTTTTAATAATTTATTTTTAAGTCTTGCCACAGACTTTTGGTACCTACCAGAAATGTTTATTATGATTCCAAAATATTTTATTCAATAAGTTTGATGGCTGGGGGATTCTGGGGCTGAAAATCTGGAGGACATCTAGGTAGAAGGTACCAGTGGTGGGGATTCAAATTTTTTTACTACCAGTTCTGTGGGTGTGGCTTCACGGGCGTGGCAGGGGAAGGATACTGTACAATCTCCAGTCAGAGGTGGCATTTGCCGTTTCTCCAAACTACTCAAAATTTCTGCTATCAGTTCTCCAGAACTGGTCAGAACCTGCTGAATACCATCTCTGAACAGCACTGAAAAAAAGGACTTATGACCATTTTTCACACTTAAGACCGTTGTAGCTTCCCCATGCTCATGCTTTACGTTCGGATGCTTGACAACTGACTCATATTTATAACTGTTGCAGTGTCCCAAGGTCATGTGATCCCCTTTCGTGAAAAGCAAGTCAATGGCAAAAACATATTCACTTAACCATGTTACTAATTTAACAACTGCAGTGATTCACTTAACAAATCTGGCAAAATAAGTTGTAAAATGGGGCAAAACTCCACAAATTTTTAACAAAAATTCTGGGCTCCATTGTGGTTGTAAATTGAGAACTATCAGTACTTTGTATGTTGCATTTCTATGCCCTATGATGATCAATATGCAAAAAAACCCAACCCCACCCCTAAATACTTTTTGCAGAATTCCACTATTTCTGCTAAACTAACTAAACTAATATCTTCCATTTTGTTTCTCTCTTCCCTCATGTCTAATACTAATACATTTTATTAAAGTGAATCAGATGAGAAAGTAAATAGTTAATTTCTCAACTGCATTTCCACAGGAGATCAGAAAGGAAAGTCAAACCTTCTCTATATTCATCACCTTTTGCCTCGTGTGGATTTTCTTGTGTGCAGTAAGGGAGGAATTTTGTGTAAAACACCGCCCACACTCTGAGCATTTGAAAGGTTTCTCCCCTATGTGTAAACCTACATGATTTACAAGTTTAGATCTAGTACTAAAACCTTTTCCGCAATCCGGACACTCATACGGTTTCTCCCCTGTGTGAGTCCTCTGATGCACCACCAGGTGGGAATTCCGACTGAAACTTTTCCCACAATCCAGACACTCATATGGTTTTTCTCCTGTGTGAATCCGCTGGTGCACCACCAGGTGAGAATTGTTACTGAAACTTTTCCCACAATCTGGACACTCATATGGTTTTTCTCCTGTGTGTGCCCTCTGGTGGTATATCAGGAGACAATTCTGACTGAAACTTTCCCCACAATCCTGACACTCATATGGTTTCTTCCCAGTGTGAATCCTCTGGTGCACCACCAGGTGGGAACTGAGACGGAAACTTTTCCCACAATCCAAACACTCATATGGTTTCTCCCCAGTATGAGTCCTCTGGTGTATCACCAAGGCATAATTCCGAATGAAACTTTTCCCACAATAGAGACACTCGTATGGTTTCTCTCCTGTGTGAGTCCTCTCATGTATAATTAGGTAGCAGTTCTGACTGAAAGTTTTCCCACAATCTGAACACTCATATGGTTTCTCCCCAGTGTGAGTCCTCTTGTGTATCACCAGGCTGGAATTCTGACTGAAACTTTTCCCACAGTCTGGACACTCGTACGGTTTCTCTCCTGTATGTATCCTCTGGTGTCTCACCAGTTCAGAACTGTGACTAAAACTTTTCCCACAATCCAAACACTGATATGGTTTCTCACCAGTGTGGGTCCTCTGGTGTATCACCAGATAAGAATTCCGACTGAAACTTTTCCCACAGTATGGACACTCATACGGCTTCTCTCCTGTGTGTATCCTTTGGTGTACCACCAGGTTGGAATTGTGACTGAAACGTTTCCTACAGTATGGACACTCATACGGTTTCTCTCCTGTGTGTGTCCTCAGGTGTACCATGAGGTCGGAATTGTGAGTGCAACTTTTTCCACATTCTGGACATTCATACAGTTTCTCTCCTGTGTGTGTCCTTTGGTGCACCACTAGTTGGGAATTCTGACTGAAACTTTTCCCACAATCCAGACACTGATATGGTTTCTCCCCTGTGTGAGTCCTCTGGTGAGCCACCAGATGGGAATTAACACGGAAACCTTTCCCACAATCTGGACACTCATAAGGTTTCTCTCCTGTATGAGTTCTCCGGTGTATCACAAGGTGGGAACTGTGAGTGAAACCTTTCCCACAATCCAGGCACTCATATGGTTTCTCACCCGTGTGAGACCTCTTGTGTACCACCAGATGGGAATTAAGACGGAAACTTTTCCCACAATCTGAACATTTATATGGTTTCTCCCCTGTGTGAGTCCTCTGGTGCATCAAGAGATTGGAATTCTGACTGAAACCTTTCCCACAATCTGGACACTCGTACGGTTTCTCCCCTGTATGAGTCCTCTGATGGTTTACAAGGTGGGAATTCTGACTGAAAGCTTTCCCACAGTTCGGACACTCATATGGTTTCTCACCTGTAGGAGCCTTCTGGTGTAACAATAGAGGAGCATGCTTGCTAAAATTTCCACCATACTGGAAGCTTTGGTATGGATTCTCTCCAGTGTAAGTCCTTTTATTTTCAAAAGGGAAGGAGCTGTAGCAAAAGACCTTCTCACACTCAGAACATTCGTCTGGTTTTTCTCCAGTGTGGAAACTCTCGTGCATAATCAGCTGTGATCCACAATCTGTGCTTTTCCCACATCTGTGGGATTTTTCCACCAATGGATTCTGGAGGTCAAAAATATTTTGGATCCCGTCTTGCCTGTTGCTTTGATTCAAGCTATTCTTTATTTCTTCACAGGGCAAGGCTTCTATAACTGCCTGCCCTACATAACTATGCAAGCCACAGGTTTCTCCCCACTGATTTCCCGATACTTCCATCTTTTTCCTGAATTTGGATATGAGTTCCAGACTCAATTTTTTCCAGCTCAAAACTCTATTCCTGTTATTCTTTTTTGTCTGTTGCTTGACAGTGAAGGAGAGTTTTGTTGTTTTCTGGAGGAAACTGGAAGACTTTGATTGCTGACTGGATTCACTGTCTTTTTTAATTCCTCTTGTGATTTTCACTTGTCCAGAATGCTCTTCTTGCCATCCTCTTTGTCTAGAAGATTGACATAAGTTTAATGGTTGTTTATAAAATGGGTGCCCAACATGTGAAAAATCACAAGTAAAAAGCATGCATTACAATGAAAAAAGCCAACATGCCAAAATGCTGGATTAATCCCTAATGTTATGATTCATCTGACACATAGAATACTAGCGAGATTCAAATATCCACACAATTGTGAAATTATCTTGTTCACTTGAGTAAGTCATAAATTCTTAGCACTACAAAGGGTTATCATCAAATATATCTGGAAATGCCTACATGATGCAGACATGCACACAGAGAGAAATACAGATACCCAAATACTACATATGTTGAAAATCCATTTGCATTTCAGCCCGAAAAATGTCCCAGAAATGGGTACACTCAAACTTTTTGGTCTAATTTTTGAGATGTGGGCGACTTTAACAGAAGAAATGGTGCCCAGAGCCTCTGCAAGATTTAAAGCAGCAGTTTTGCCAATGACACTCCTTTCTTGGCCAAGAAAAAACAACATGCTCCTAAAAAGCACAAGCAACTCCTAACCTTGAGACCTTTTTCAATCTCCCAAACAGGCACCACTTTTAAAGCACGTGCCACCAGTGGAATTAAATTCAGCGAGGGAAGGAATACGTAGCAGCCGAGTATGTTGCAGCTTAGTTGATTCTCTGCTTCTGCACCGTGGAGGAAACCAAACAGCCCTACCTGTTCACGGCTCCACCTCGACCTGTCCTCAACTCACCTTTCCACCCTTGGAAGAACGAGAGAGCAGCGGCTGGCCGTGCCACCATCCTCCCATGGATGAGCCGGAAGAGGAAATTCCTCTCCCGCATCCCCTCTAGCAGTACCCGATTGTTTCAACGCCTTGCACCCCCAGTCTCTTCCCCCATCCGTTGGATGTCAGTATTCGGCAACCACCGATGCCGCCGCTGTGTTGGCGGCTTTCTAGGCGCCGGTGTTGCTGATCGAGAGCGCGCCATCTAGCGACGGAAGTCTGAAAAACACGTTTGTTCCGTCTAAGCCTGCTAGAAGCTAGATTTTTGATTGATTACTCTATGTGCCGCCAAGTGGTTTTCAGCACCACCGACCATATTGAGAGCTCCTTTCCAGGGCGAACTCTCACTAACCTGTTCTTTCTGGTCCCCCGAGGAGCACTCATCGCCACCGTAACTGCACTGTAATCAGGGTGTGTGTGAGTTCATTAGTTTTTGGATGGTGAGGGGTTGTTAGGCACCCAGAGTCACCATGAGTGAACTGGGTATATAAATTGAATGAATGAATGAATGAAATCAATCAAATCAGTCAAATCAATCAATCAATCAATCAATCAGAGCCAGAAGCTTTGTTTATTAAGTTCAAGGTGGGAGGAATAGCCAACACCTTAGATCAGGGCAGGGGTGGGATTCCAATTTTTAAACAACTGGTTCTGTGGGCATGGCTTAGTTGGTGGGCATGGCTTGGTGGTCATGTGACTGGCTGGGCGTGTTCAACTCAACATCACTCACATTGAGGCACGCATCTCCTCACATGGCCTCTCGTGACTGTGGGGATGCTGCAACAGTCGTAAGTGTGAAAAAGGGTCATAAGTCACTTTTTTCAGTGGCATTGAATGGTCACTCCACACAAGCAAAGTACCAGCAAAGGAGGGGAAAAAAACTCCAGAGAAGTTCCAGAGACTGGAAGTCTAGTCCTGCCAAGAATGTAATAAGGGTTAATAGAGAGGCAGTTTCTGTAAGCAACACGAGAATGTTTCCTTCCTGCCCTCCTTACAGGATTAGACCAGTAATTTCTTCTAACAACCAGTTCTCCAAACTGCTTAGAATATTAACAACCGGTTCTAGCAATAGGTGCGAGCTGGTAGAATCCCACCCCTGGTGTCAAACTCGCAGCCCATGGGCCTTACTATTCCCAAACCCTCCGGTATGCGCCCCGCCCCCTGCCCATGCGCGGCAGATACCCGACAATCAGCTGGCTGGTGGGAGGCATCCGCGCATGCGCAGTGAACCGAGCTGGGGCGACGGCTCGCATGCCAGCAAAGATGGCTCTGTGTACCACTTCTGGTACGTGTGCCATAGGTTCGCTATCACGGATTTAGGACATGGAAGTACCAGCAGGCCAGAGGCTCCGAGGGAACTAGCCTCACTCAAGCTAGCCAAGCTGTTTCCAAGTGCAGACTACTGGTGATCCTCAACTTACGACCACAATTGAGCCCCAAATTTATGTTGCTAAGTGAGAAATTGGTTAAGCGAGTCTTTCCCATTTTACGACTTGTCTTGCCACGGTTGTTAAGTGACTCACTGAGGTTGTTCAATTAGTCACACTTTTGTTAAGTGCGTCTGGCTTCCCCCATTCACTTTGCTTGTCCCAGGAGGTTGCAAAAGGGGTTCACATCAACCAGAGACGCTGCAACTGTCAGAAATGTGAGAGTTGTTAAGCATCCGAATGTAAATCACGCGACCAAGGGGAATACTGCAGTGGTGGGTGTGAAAAACAGTCAGAAGTCACTGTGCCATTGTAAACACCAAATGGTCACTAAGCAAACTTTGGTAAGTCAAGGACTACCTGTATATTCCAGCTGCTGTGCCTCTCAAGCCACCTTTTGTTTCACATTTTAAATCAAAGGCTAGACGCCATGTGACTCTGTAAATTTGCTCACACAGAAATCTCCATTGAGCCAAGGGAAGAGAGTGACAGACATCAAAAAGAGGGCCTAGAACAAGGGTGTCAAACTTGCGGCCCGCGGGGCCAGATGCGTCAGTCGCTGGCCGCGCCCACCCCTGGTTTACCAAAAGAGAGTTGGAAAAAAATCACGATAGGTCATGTGACAACATGCTGCCGTGAATTTGACATCCCTTTTCTAAATGCGAAGGGGGAGGCGCTGAAATGATTTATATATATATATATGGTAAAAGAAACTGGTAAACGTTTCAAAGAAATATTTCATTGTAAGAAGGCTAGTACTGTGCACTTACACACACAAGTGTAGAAATGTCTGGCCATACATTGCCTGGCATCATTTTTTATTAGAAATTGTTCATGTAGTTAAATATAAAAACATACAAATCAAATGTAGGAAATATAAGCAGGAAAGGAATTGCAAAAAGAAAAACCCATATAGTTGAGCCTCCCTTCTTTCTTATTGAGTAGCTTTATTATTATGGGTTGTACCTGATAATTCTTGACTCTTGACAAATGTTATCTTTTCTTTTATGTACACTGAGAGCATACACACCAAGACAAATTCCTTGTGTGTCCAATCACACTTGGCCAATAAAAGAATTCTATTCTATTCTGTTCTAGTTGTCATCACGCATTCCTATTTGGGAATTATCTCTGCCCAGCTGACCAGAATAAAACTCTCCTTGGAAACGGAGCCTGGCCTAAAGTCCATTCCTCGGAGAAATCCATACCAGCATTTCCTTTCCACATTGCTCATCTGTGCAGAGGAACAGGGAGATTTCCTCTATGCACAGGTAAGTAAGTAATAATCAGATCCTCAAAGGGTCTTTGGAGTCTTTCTTCTGTACTGTCTCATTGAGTTCCACATGCTTCAAACCCTTCAACTCAAAACTTCCTCCCAAGGTTGCTGCCTTTATCCATGATCTGATTTGAGGGGGGATGAAGATAGCGTCAGGGATTTTTGTTTAAGGCAGCGGTCCCCAACCTTTGCTGCTTAGTTGCCCGGTGGGGGGAGAAAGAGGAACCAGGCCACGTGAGCAGCAGGTCGACGTGCATACATGCAGCTCCCCTTCTGCAAGCAGCAGGGCAGCACAAACATGCATGCGCACGCAGCTCAACTGCAAATAGAGCTGCATATGTGCCAACACGCCACTCGCGAGTGGAGCTGCGTGTGCTTGTCTGCCACTCACACGAGTGGAGCTGCACCTGTGCATGCCAGCCAGCCTGCCGCTCGCATGGCCTGGTACTGGACCAAGGCCCCGGGGGGGGGGGTTTCCGGACCCCTGGTTTAAGGAAACAGGATTGCTTTTCTTTTCTCAATTTTTGCCTTTAGAATTCCCTTTTGTATATTATACACTGGTGGTGCAATGGTGAGAGATTACTAATGCAGGCTGACTTTGCTCACTGCTAGGAGTTCGATCCTGACTACGTCAAGATTGACTCAGCCTTCTATCCTTCCGAGGTCGGTGAAATGAGGACCCAGAGGGTTGGGAGGCAATAGGCTGACTCTGTGAACCACTTACAGAGAGCTGTAAAGCACTGTGAAACCGTAGATAAGTTCTTCTGCTATTATAGCTGACCAAGAGGTTTAAGCAATCTTTTCCACAACTGTAATTGATCTTTTGTTAACAGTGGGAGAAAGCGTTGATAAAAAGTTAGGATAAGGCGGAATATGGAGCACACACAGTGCAGTGAATGAAATGGAAAAATCTCCCATGTGTTGGGAACAGAGGTTTTGTTTTGCATTACCTTGCCCCAATGTTCACAGCAACGCTGATATTACCCATTTTTTTCTCGTCAATATCTATTTATGTATATGTGTTTTAGACCTTAAACATTTACCGCTCTACACTTTTTTTCTCAGATCTCCACCACTAAAGGGGGAATTAGCAAAAATGTCAGCAAATTGGCATTGCATCACACACCAAAGGCTAACAAGCAAGCACCTCCAAGCAAACAATATTACAGGAGTTGCTAATAAACCTGAAGAACCTATGCTCCAAACCACAACCCCTTTTCTCCACAACTCAATGTACCTACAGCCAGGGGTGGGATGCAAATATTTTTACTGCCGGTTCTGTGGGCGTGGCTAGGTGGACATGGCCACGTGACTGGGTGGGCGTGGCTTTTTTGTGCAGCGCACACACACACACACCGCTCTGGGTTTTTTTTGCCTCCTGGGCCTCAGGGTTTGGCCAAACGGTAGCAATTTTTTACTACCGGTTCAGGTGAACCGGGCCTAACTGGTAGAACCCCACCACTGCCTACAGCTCTTATCCATCCTATTTAACAGCCATCACATATCAAATTGTGCAATCTTTTTGTCATTTGTCTTCCCTCAGATCTTCTACATTCTACGCTTCCTCCCAGCCGCAATCTGAACGGGAATTCTCCTTCCGCTGAGTTTCTTTGAACTCACTTTGCCTCTCTTAGCCCATTTTGTCATATTTGAGGATTTATAGTAAATATGTAAATATGAGCGCTGCAATCTTTTCTGTAAAGTATTTTTAGCCCAAATTTCAGAGACCAACCAGAAACACTGACTATCACTTCAAGATATTTTATTCAAAAGGTAATCCTGGCTGGAGAATTTTGGGGCTTGAAATCTGGAAGACAATGAGGTAGAAAGCTGAAACGTTGCATGTGGCATTTCTATGATCTACGATCAATATAAATCAAAAAAACATCCAAAACCTCTATTGCAGCAATTGCACTATTCCTTCAAAAGTAAATATTTCTTGAAAAGTAAATATTTCTTGAAAAGTAAGTATCTCTTGAAAAGTAAGTATCTCTTGAAAAGTAAGTATCTCTTGAAAAGTAAATATTT